TCTATCTATCTATCTATCTATCTATCTATCTATCTATATATATATATTTTTTTTTTTTAATTTAATTTAATTTAATTATTTTGGTGGACCCCCAAGCACCGGCTCGCAGACCCCTGAGAGTCCGGGGACCCCAGTTTGAGAACCACTGTGATGATATGGTAAATAATAGCCAACATGTTTATGAAATGCCATATGTTCATACTCAGAAAAGTAATTTCAGTGGTGAAGGGTCACATGTATGTCCATACTATAAACTGAAGGTTTTTTAAGAAGCTATCAACAACAGGTAAGATATTAATTGTCTGTAACCTTTACACAAAATCTTGCTTGAAAAAACTTGCACTATTTATTTAATAATAATAAATAAATAAAAAACTCCAACAACTGATTTGTAGTTCAAATATATATAATGTTATCTGTTTGGAATTTGTATTATTATTTAAGGATTCAAGAATTCAAGGTTCTTTATTGTCATTCGCATGACATGTGGTACATGAGGTGGAACGAAATTGTGTATACAGGGTCCCAGTTACGTCCAACAAAAGTATTAAAATGTAAAAGAAAAACACTAACAAGATCTAAGATATGATCTAGGAAAAACGATAACTAAAAATACACTAAGCACTAGTATAAAAACAATATGCCGAACAGCAGCATTATTATCTAATGTATATAAATGAATGCAAAGCTCCATTGTAATCACAAAATACAGCCTATAGATAAGTAACAAAATATAAACATAGTGCATTTGTGGCAGTTTATATTTGTGTTTAGGAATTAATTAGGTCATATTTAGAGCTTTGATATATCATGAATCATTTGCTTATTGACCATCTGATTGTGAATCGGCCACCTCGTTGATACTTGAGTGTTAACATGGAACAAGTATCTTTCTGTTGTTTGCTCTTAAAGCTGCCCTGCAGACACCACATTGCTCACACATGACCACATTTGACACATTTCGTGTTCTGCTTTCCCAGCTCCACACATCCATTTTGCTCAGCGGTGCTAGATGTACAACAATAGCCAATCTCCACACCCTGAGGTGAAGCATGCCTAACTTCAAATGCTCTTCTCATTGCTGGCCATGTGGGAGAACAGAGATGCCCCATAAAACAACGTTTTGTGCGAGCGGGGCCTCGCTGTCTGCCTCTGACGGTGCTGTGAAGGGCTGCAAACCCCATGGGGTTTGCAACTATTGCATGTTTCCAACCAGCGTGCTCATTTAGTCACCCCTAAGGCTTTCTGTAGCATTAAAGTTTTATTGTTCACAAGCGCATTAATAATGCTGCTCTTATAATATTATCTAAGTGATATAATTTTTAAACAATTTCTGTCGATAACACAAAATATACGTAACAGCTAATAAGAGTTTTTGTTAAAAAAAAAAAAAAAAGTCAAGTAGCACTTTTGTCCAGCTGTAATTAAATCTTGAGTCACACTTTGCTTCCACGGCCTTGTTGTTTTTCTTGCTCTGTTTTTGTTAGTTTTAAAAGATAAATGAATACAATCACCTAAAAAACCTGGAAGGTCACAACAAACATGATAAGATTTAGGAAGTGAAAATTAATTACAGCTCACGGGTAGCCGAACCTGATTCCAGTACAATATTTATTGTGATAAGAACAGAGCTTGATTAAAAAAAAAAAAATCATTATTTCAAACAACAAAAGTCCATTATTTAAACTTCAATAAGAAAATCTCAGCTAAACATGTCTAAAGGTAGATCTAAAGCCAGTGTTGAGATGAATGCACATTATAAACAGGTCAGAAAATGTTGGGATAGTCTGAAAAATTCAAAAACAAAATGAACAAACATAAACTCTAAATTATTGTCATTTTTTATTTTTAATTCACTCTGGCCTTTTATGATTGCAACCCATCTCAACAAACTGTGTGACAGTAAAGCATTTATGTTATAGTAGCATTTTCTTTCACAGCAGTTTAAAAAAAAGGTCCTGCCATGAAAATAAAATACATTTAAGGTGTAATTTTGTGCCGCTCGTCCTGCATCCGTGCCTTAAAATAGCCAACAGAACAATGTTGATGTCAGATTGTTGGTTTTTAAGTCCTCGACACATTTCCAATTTGGGACAGCAGTCAGGCCCGTAAACTCTTCTTCTACAACTACAACTCTTCTATATTAGCAAGTATTGAGGATTTTGTTTAAAATGTGGACATCTTTTAAAAATATGTCAGTTTTCATTACAGTTCCTACGTTTAGGCTTTACTGAAATGCTTCTTGATTTATTTGAATCAAAATTTTCCTGAAGCATTTTTCCCCAAACATTTAAATTTGGAGATTCTCTGCCCACCTTCAACTGCTAATCAGGATTAAAATCACCTGTTGACATCACCTGCCTGAAAATTCATTATGATCTTTTTCTTCTAATTTCTAGCTCTGACTTGCCCCTTTTTAAAACCTGTTCAGATTTGTTGCAGGTAAAAATAGAAAAAAAAAAAAAAAACCTGTATAAATTAAAAACAAAACGAGAGAACGTGCATTCTTTTGCATTGAAAGAATTAGTCCAGATTTGAAGAAATTGAAACTGAGTTGTTAAAGAAGCAAAACACTAACCGAAAGCTAAAAGAAGCTGGATTCTACATTAAAGCAAAACAATCATAGATGAAATGGATAAAATGTTATCTTAAATGGGCAAAATGCTAGCTAACGGGTAAAATGTTAGCTTAAAAATAAAAATAGCAAGATGCTAGCTAAAATTAGCAAAAAAACTAGCCAAAAGTATCAAATTGCTAGCTAGAAGCTAAAAGAAGAAAAAGGAGCTAAAAGTAACAAATCTCTAGCTCAAAACTAAAAGTAGTAAAAAGCAAGATAAATGCTAAAAGTCACAAAAGGCTAGAAAAAAGTATAGCAAAAGCTTAAAAGTAGTAAAAGGCTTAAAAGCTAAAAGTAAAACAACAATAGCTAAAAGTTTAAATTATGAAAATAAGATTAAAAACAAAGTATAGGAGATTTTAAAGATAACAATGTTTTTAAAGGAACTGAATAGAATCCAATGTATTTTTATGGAAAAAAAAAAAATTTCAAATGAAGTTACATATTTAGAAAAGTATTAAACTTCCAAAAACTTAAAGTCTTAGCATCCATTTTCCAACTTAGCTGAATATTTTGGAATGGCTAAAATAGCAAAGACATAGTTAGATTGCAAAAAACATAAAAAAAATAAAATTAAAAAAGATTAAATAGGGAAAACAATATAGAGTGAATCCTGAATCAGCTATCAATCAGTTACAGATGATTCTGCTTACATTTCCCAAACTCCATAGGAACCAGAGTCAAGCTAGTTATTTAGTCAGAGTTATTTTATAAACAAGGGGGGCATAGTTTTAGTCAAAAAGGTCAATTTTCTTGTTTGGCAATACAATCAATCAATCAACCTTTATTTCTACAGGTAAATCCCATTGAGCCTCGAGGACTCATTTACAAGAGAGACCTGATTTCAACAAAGAAAGATGACAACAATGGACAACAGCAACAACAATAAACAGTTATAAAAAAGCATACTACAGTTTTTTGTTGTTGTTTTTTTTTTAACAAATAGGATGGGTAAAAGGAAAAAGGTAACAAAACAAAAAACAGATAGATTCCAAGACAAATGTAGAAAACTAAAAACAGGAACATGTCTGCATTGGACCCTGCCAGGTGTCCAACAGATTCTTAAAGACACTTAGAGAGGTCAAGGTCGAGAGCTTCAAATCTTTTTGTAAGATGTTCCAGGAAACAGGAGCAGAGTAGGAGAAGGCCCTTTTGCCTAGTTCAGTCCTCATTGAGGGAACACTGCAGGTAATAATGCCCTGAGAGCGCACGCTGTAGCTGCACTCATGCAGAGACATATAGGAGGAGATGTATGAAGGCAGCAGACCAAGAAGTGATTTAAAGATGAAAATATACCAGTGAGAGTCTGCGTGAAGTTAATGATGACCAGTTAACCAGTGAATACAGTGTGCAGTGGTGGGTACGATAACAAACATTGCAGTTGCATATAGGTCAGCGTTTATTAGCTCATACTTGAAAACCTACAGCTCAAAAGTTTTCTCTAAAGTGGTATGCAAGAGTTTCAACAACAGCAGATATATCCCTCATGTAAAAGACAGCACA